GCCTGCCCCACATATGCAGTGCTCCGCAGCCTAAGAGAAAAACAAGAACAGGTCTGTCCAAAAGTGCAGGCGGGCCGCCTGCTGGAGGCATGTCACACAAAATGTCTGAATGAATCTAAAAAGGCCCTCCATATAAGCTGGGACAAGAGCCCGGGTCATCGCGGCTCATACAGAACACACACAGTTTATCGGCACGCATAACTCTGAGAAGACCCCAACCTCCCTTGAAGCTCCTCGTCACGAAGCAGCAGGGTGCCAAAAGCCCAGGCAATGTTTGAGATGGCCTGCACCGGGGCTAGTTAGCGAAAGATAAGCGCAAACATCTATCAGAAGAATGATGCAATGGGGGAAGGAGCCCTCCAAGGGAAGAATTAGCTTGGAACAAAGGCACAGCACGCGCGGCCAAAGGAAGGGGTTTTCGCGGCCCAAATCCTCTACGGACAAGCTGAACAAAAAAACGACATCAAGAAAGCTGTAAAGAACATCACAAAAGCAGAATCATAGGCACGAGAGTAATACTATCCAGTAGACTGAGCACACTATAAACGTGTTCAACTGCCTGAGCATAACCTGTCCTTCATAATTCGACCGTGTGTTGTGGATGGTAGTTCTGCCGGCTCATGGGTATGCAGGCGTGCTACATGCTCAGTATCTTGGCAATGTATTGTCGTGCTGGCTGCGCTCCAGTGTTCGTTGATGCCTGCGTGTCGCCCTCGTAGATCTTGCTTTGCCTCCCAGTAAACAGCACATGACCCATGGCTTTGGCTCATGGTTTTCTTAACGGGACGCCCAACGTATGCACTTGCCAATTTTCCTATGGAACCCTATATACAACAAAACCAGAACAAACACCCTAAATCAAGTAGTGTGGGCTTCGTGGATTCTTGAAGTGCAGGGTTCATTCAGGCGTCGTTCCCTTGGGGCGAATGTTTCAAGCCACGCAACTCCTAACTGACGAACATATTCTTTGAACCAAACTTGTAAATCTGGACATGAGGCTTTATGATCAACACAATTTCCAGGCTCAGCAACGAAAACAAGTCTTCTTCTTGGCTCAATTGAGAGCAGCAGCGGGCGCAGAGGAAGCCCATGAAAAGAAGTCCAAGGCTACAGTCCGCTCGCAAGACTTCGGCAACCAAAACTTTGCTTGTGTGGAAGGCATTTTTTTGCTTTCTATACAATATCACTATCTACTTAAGGGGGTTCAGGGCACCTGCCGGTGTTCTTTAACCGCACGATGTTGAGGATTCCACCTGTTCCCTCCCCTACTCAACCTGCTAAAATTGCCCGTCCCCGGCGCCAGCACCTTGGTCATACGGAAGTGCTGGCTCAAGTTTACAGGCTTTAGGCCTCAAGCACAGGAAGCTCGACCGTCACATGAATGTAAGAGGGCTGTTGTGCAACAAGTCCCATGACTCTTCCCACCCCCGAACCGAATCTTGACAACCCGTAGGTAACAAAGGACTGATTACCCTGAGATGCCTAGACAGCAATGCAGACTTTGTGCGCGAAAGGGAGTTAAAACATCATGGAGGGGACTTCCGCCACTGCTTTGGGGAATAGATCAAGCAGATCTCAGAGGACTTACGGCCCAATGAAACCCTGAACCCGGACCTCTTCTTCCTCCAGGCCCGGGCTCCTTCCTAGACTCTAAGCGTCGAAACCAACCCCACCATCCTATGTTGGCCCCCAAAACCAATTGAAAAATATTAGTATATATGGTCCCCTATTAAGGCCATTAAGGAAAAGATGAAATATCCCAGGGGCCTACCCAGCATCCTCAAATTAGAAGCCCGCGCCTCTGCTCGCCAATCACCTGTGATAGGTCCGAATGATCCGGACTCGTCATGCGCCATTCATACTGTGCGAGGGTTGAAGTGCATGGGGGACATGAAGGGCCCATTATCTTACAATATCTTACAATCTACTCGCCTTGGTGAGGGCTGACGTTTTGCAGCTGAGAGTAAGGATTTTCTGGAAGACACACCATCCCGACTTCTTGCCTGGTTGCACATTCTCTCTGCAGGAGGGTGCCTCAAGGATACCTCCAAAAACTGGGATGCAAGTGTATGCAACTCTGGGCGAGCCTTATGTTGTCCAATCAACTTGGGTGGAGGGAACTACTGCCTGGACCCTTACGGCCAATTCCATGGTCTTGCCCGCGCCTTTAAAGGAGGCGAGCTCACCACAATCAGAACTGCGAGCGCTCAAGCGCTGTTGGCCAAATCTCGTGCCACATACCTGCCCAAGGCCACAATCTCACAGTCTGCAAGTGGGCCTCTGTATGCCCTCATAGCTCACAACTCTTGAAACCGACGAATACCTTTGTCGCACAAGATTGGTACCCTTTGCGTATCCCGATAAGGAGGATGGTCAACTTCCAGGGCACCTCACTTTTAGAAACTTTCGTTTCAGGCTTGAAAGTTTCAGGATTCAAGGCTGGCTGTTCACAAGTGCAAACGCCACAGCAGGGTTGATCTTCCTCTCCCTGACTTTACGTACACACCTTAACTGTGCTTAGTAGGGAATAAGTAAGGGGCTAAAATCGCTATATAATGCATTCCATATTCCCTACTAAGCCCCTGTAAATTTTCCTATGCACGCTGCCAGTCGAAAGTTCTTTGTGCTCTTACACAGGGCCCCCCTGGCTAGGCACCGTTCAGGGGGCTGCAACCAGTATTCACAGAATTTTCATGTAATTTTAATGAAGTTGCAAGGAGATTTCGGCGTAATGTAGAAGCCAAGATGACTACCAACATCATGTTGAGGTCTATCTGCGGTGCCCTTCTACCGTAATTACACAAGAATCTAGAACCATAACATTGGTCGTTATTTAAGCTCCAACATGAAATGCAAGAGGGTGCCTTGAGGCCTTTTGCGAGGCGGCGCTCCTCTTTAGGGTGAACAGGAATGTTCAGAAGTTTGCAAAGCTCTCTTGCATCTTTTCGTTGCAAAGCACTGACGCAATCCTCTTTTCAAGTAAGCACGACTCCTGACAGTGTTGGCACATGCCATATCTGGAATATCTGCAGGCTGGCGAGCAGGCAACCCTCCGATCCGGTAATGAGCCTTCTCTCTTGAAGCTCAATGACGCGATTGTTTCTTATGCGGCCAGGCGGCTAATCATTCTTAGAGCTTGACGCTAGGTGTCTCAACACGAAAGCTACTTCATCTGTTCATCCACAGTGCACAGCAATGCCGGTCCCGGTGTCGCAGAAATCAAGTTGACTGCATGAGAATGTGGGGAGGCATACTGCGCTTAGATGCAACTAATCATTGGGCCTATTCATCTCCCAGCAGGGCTCTGAGAAGCTGTCCCGGCAGAATCCATGAGAGGCTGGCAGCACAGCCCCGACTTTGCAGATCCCCAGACGGTGTTCACGAGCTCCTTCGCTGCAATTGCTGCTTTGACAAAACCAGCAAAGATGGAACTGTGATAAGATCGGTCGCAGTGCTCATGTGAGCAAATAACTTAGGAGAAGGTGACGAGAATATCGCAAGCCGGCTGTGCACATTCCGGCCTGCACATCCCAGCGGGCTGCCTGGTGCATGTGGCAGAGGGAGCAAACTCTTACAGTACTTGTGTGAAAGCTCTCCTACAACACGACAGCATGTGGCACAATATGCAACGCAAGGACCGTACCTGAAAGCAAAA